AACTCTCACATTTAAACCCTCCTGCCGGAAGGGTACTAAGTCATGGCGAAGGTGGGGAAGGTGAAGCTGGGGCCCGGGCGGCAATCTGCCGGAGGGCAGGTGGGGGAGTGGCCAGGCTTACGGCCAAGGGCCTAGTCTCCGCCCCCGACTTGTCCGCCGGGCGCTGGGCTCGCGAGCCAGGGCGACACCCCCGCCACCCCCCCCAGCTGCTCCGGCTGCGCCCGCGGGCTCCAGTCGCGCGGCTGGTTCTACGCCGGGCGCGGGCTGCCTGTGTGTGCCCGCCAGCCAGGAAGAAAACTCATCTCGGGTCTCAGTCCTGTCCTCGGGGACCAGGGGCGAAACGCGGAGGAAGAGGAGTCCAGACACCACCCGACTCAGGTGAGGGGCGTGCTGTGGGATGAACGACCTTCCAGGCCCCGGGAAACAAAGTGGGGGCTTTCCAAACCGCTGCGGGCGGTGCGGATGTCGGGGTGCTGTTGCAGTGCTGGAGTCCGCGGGGTCTGCCAGCGGCAGTCAGCCCTGGTGACCAAAGCCGGGGAGAGGGGGGAGCGATTTTAGACCGTTGTGGCTTGTCGCCAGAGCTCCGGGCTCCCTGTGGGGCCCTGAGCCCGCGGCCGCGCGTACATAGAAACCGTTGCTAGGGTGGAGGGGCCATTTCTTTTCTTTTCGGTCTCCGGCCGCAGGGGGCGCTCAGCCTGTGGGTGCTGGAGGGAAGGGGCCTCGGGGGGAGACACCCAGATTTTCTCGTTTCTGGTCCCTAGCGGTGTGCCCTGGGGGTAATGCTGATAAACCGACCAGAAGATGTGCATGGTGGTGTAGATCAGGATGATGGAGAAGAAGAAATTACAACCCCTAGGACCAAAGGTTTTCCCAACTAGAGGCCAAAACTTTGCAAAGAGAGGGGAAAGAATTCTAAAGAGAGCAAATAAAGTATTGTATAACTTGGTTTGGTTTTTGCTTTTTTTTTTGAGACAAGAGTCTCACTATGTCGCTCTGGGTAGAGTGCCGTAGCGTCACTGCTCATAGCAACCTCAAACTCTTGGGCTCAATCGATTCTTCCTCAGCCTTCCATGTAGCTGGGACTACAGGTGCTCCCCCCGCCCCCCAACGCCCGGCTATTTTTTGGTTGGAGTTGTCGTTGTTGTTTAGCAGGCTGGAGCCGGGTTCGAACCCGCCAGCCTCAGTGTATGTGGCCAGCGCCCTAACCACTGAGCTACAGGCATGGAGCATAACTTGTGTTTTTAACCTTAGCATTCACATTTAGTAATTTTGAGAATGTGTATCTTACAGTAAAAATAAAGCATGGGAGTTTTCAAAACGGATTCTCAAGGGCCAGTGGGCAGTGGCTCACCTCAGTAAGCCTAGCACTCTGGGAGGCCGAGGCGGGCAGATTGCCTGAGTTTAGGCGTTCAAGACCAGCCTGAGCCAGAGCAAGACCTCATTTCTAAAAATAGCTGGGCATTCCCCGGCACCTGTAGTCCCAGCTATTTGGAAAGCTGAGGCAAGAGAATCACTTTAAGCCCAAGAGTTTGGAGTTACTGTGAACTGTGACGCTGTGGCACTCTATCAAGGGGGACAAAGTGAGACTCTGTCTCAAAACAAAATAAAAGAATTCTCAGAGAAATGTTAAAATGGTGTCCCACATGAAATTCATTTGATTAGATAAGGGATTGCTATATCATTTCATATGCTTTTTGTTTTTTATTTAAAAAATTATCTTAGGGTCTTGCTCTGTGCTCGGGCTAGAGTGCTGCGGTCTCAGCCAGCTCACAGCAACTTCAAACTTCTGGAGTCAAAAGATCCACCTACCTTACCCTCCTAAGTAGCTGGGACTACAGGAATGCACCACCTCACCCAGTTAATTTTTCTATTTTTAATAGAGACAAGGTCTTGCTCTTGCTCAGGCCTGACCTCAAGCAATCCTCCTGCTCCTAGAGTGCTAGGATTACAGATGTGAGCCATCATGCCCTGCCTGCTTTTTACTATTCTTTATTCTAATTATAAAATCTAAGGGTTTGCAAAATACCTTTAGTTCAAGGCAATCTATTTTTAATTCCTTTACATGTGTAAATCTCTCCTACCAAAGATCCAGCTTGTTAGAAAAATTCTCCTGAAACAACTCATGATATTCTAGGTGGCATCAATAATTTAAAAGTTCTCACTTTTCTGTAACTTCCACCCTTCTGGTTACGCTTGTGATGGGAGCTACTCAGGAATGGGCCCTACAGGTATGGTGTGAAAGCCACATCTAATTTCTAAGCTGGATCTCATCTGAAAGCTGAAGAATTATCTGTTCTAGTCCCAAGTCAAAGCCAGTAGGAACATGGAGGAGAAGCTGACAGTGTCCCCTTTTTCTGCAGAGGTCTGGTATATGATCAGATTCCCAGAGGGCAGTCATACTGAAAAAAATTCTTAGATGAATTAGACCCATTTCTTCTTGTTGTTTTTAAAATTATCACCCAATAGATTTTGGTGTAGTGTTTTCTTTAAAAAAAAAAAAAAACTCTGGCAGTGACCC